TGCTGATTGTGTTTGCAAGAGTTAAAAGTGGTACATAAAACTTTTTCCATCTTCTGGACATTTCCATGCTCAATGCTTATAATATGTATAAGATGAAGACCAGAAACAAACCACCATATGGCGAATTTTGTCTGTCTGTCATCAGACAAATAATAATCAAGTACCAAGGAACAACACCTACAATAGAAAACCTCCCACGAAATTATCAACAACTACCTTCTCGTCTGAAGCCTGGTCATCACTTTCTAATGAAACTGCCTGCTACTGCTTTCAAGAAAAAGGCTCAGGTGTTACATCTGTGCACATACAAAAAAAACGCCCACAACAACACACAGAGACTTTGTTTTATGTGTGAGGAATGTAAAACACCATTGTGCATGACACTGTGTTTCAAAGACTTCCACAGGCTGCAGAACTTCTAAGAACATGTCCAGTGACTGTATATACGTATATATAATAGAAAAATTGTAATAAACAGCATTTTATTTTGTTCGTCTGTGTAAACATGTTTTGTAAACAATATGACAACAGTGTTTGTGTAGTATAGAAAGTGAATATTTACAAAATAGTCCTCATGTTGGTCTCACAGGCCATAAAAGTTACTTGAAAAGAATAAATATTAAAAAATAATAGAAAAAGGTAGAAAAAAAAAAATAAATGATATCTGGGTGACCGGCTGTCGGCAATCTTGCCGTATGCAGTTCAATTTCTGTCAACTTCATGCCTCCATATCTCGGTAAGTATTAATGGCAAAAAAACTTTTCATAAGAATTTTTTTTTTTTTTTAATATTTTCGACCCTGAGAACAAGTTTGGGAGAGGGTCTGCCGACCCTGAAAGGTTTAATAGACAGGTCAGTTGACAATATTACACTCATGCCCTTCACATTTTCCTTTCATTTTATTTGGTGACCCTCTTGCACTTCATTTGCAGTGCCCATTTCAAGTTCTTTGTTCTTTCCATGCCGGTATCAAAGCGGTTAGAACTTATCTCCATTGCCAATTGTTTATTTCTTCTTGCAATATGTGATTTTCATGCTTATTTTGGTATCATCTGTAGATGATACAAAACTGTGGAGAACATTTTTAACTGTGTGTGCTATGAGGAGGAGAAACAGTAAAGACACCATGACTGTGCCATAGGGTAACAAGATTCTTGACTTTGCTATGCTAGATTTTGCTTTGTTTACTACTACTCTTTGTTCTATTTGTCATAAATTTTAATGTTTATTTGCCTACTTTCACTGTTATACCTACTTCCCTCATTTTATGTACAATAACTCCATGATCACTTTTATAAAATGCATTTGAAAAATCCATGTATACCACATCTTCATTTTGGGCTTGCAGGTTATGCTCCTTCATTAAGTTTGTAATCTGAAATTTCACCACCCTTTAAAAGACTTTCATTATATGCAATGTTAGCACTACTGGTTGGTAATATTTTACCAGCACTCTACCGCCTCCTTTATGCAAAGAAGCTACGTATAGGATGAAGGAGAGAGAGCAATTGTTTAACAGTATAATAAAATGCACTGGCTGTAGGCCTAAGGTTTACAGCATCTCACCAGCAATCAGCTTCAATGCTTCCTCCACCACTCTGCATGCCCCTCCACCACCCACTATCATCACCGCCCACAGCCACCTGCACTCACTATTCCTCCCCCATCCTCTTCTGACTCTCCACAAACCACCCACTGTTCCAGTCATCATAAATCACTCTACCATCCTGCTGTGCCTCTCCACCACCATCCCTGATGCTTTCTCTGCTAGAGGCCACAACCTCCACCTCCACCATCACCCTTGATGCCTTCTCTGCTAGAGGCCACAACCTTCACCTCCACCACTACCTCTGCTGCCTCCTTTTTCCTCTTGCCTAAACCTTCTCTGTTATCTCCTACCTCCATCACACCAGCCCTACTACCACCACCGCCTCTGCTGTCTTTAATCCACTCTAACATCTGCCATCAGAGCTACCACTACCATCTTCACCTTTGTCACCTCCCCAACCACCACCACCTTCACCTCTGCCACCAGCACCAATTTCAAAATGTCCACAAATGAAACCTGTTGGAAGTGTGTGTGAGGGAAAAGTTCATTAGATAGGAGTAGAAGTATGAATGAATGGTGGTGGTAGTTTGTTGGGCGGCATGCTTGTTCTGCTAGGTGTGTGCGCATCGTTTCCGCTATCCCCTTCCCCCTCCCCTTCTCCACCTGGTGGGAGTTGACGTATGTCCCTCCCACTAGCTAACGGTCACTTGACTTTCAGCTCCCATCAAGTCTAAGTATTCAATCCACTCCTGTTTAATATATTGTGTGTTTTGGTTAATTTGATAAACAAGCGCTTCATTCCTGTTTAGGTTTTTATTCTGCCATTTTAACCTGATTTGGGCTTACATAGTGTAACGTAATTATTTTTTGTCCTCACCATTTCTTTTAAAGGCAGTATGCCAATCATGCGAGTGATTTCTCGAGTGGTTTGTAATTTTGTCTCTATTTTAGCCTTGACTGTCAGCTCGGGTCATCTGACACCGGCGAGATTAAGAGAGGCAGCTTGGATCTTTCCCAGATCTGAAAATTAATCTGGCATCTGTACCTTGTAGCTGACACACAATCATCTATACACCATCCTACAGATGTTCTCCTGTTATCACCCCACCAAAGTTTCACGGTGGTTCATGACTAGTGACTCTATTGCTTCGGAAGAGTTGTGATTTCCAGAGGATCTCAGTACCTTGGTTATTCAGGATCCCTACTCACGTGTGAGTCACTCTACTTACTTCAATTGTCACAACAGTCACATCTGCCTATGACCCCCTCCCCTTCAACATCAATGGATTAGTGAGGAGGAGCTGTATTTCATTTTTCATTCGTTGCTTAAGGTAGGATTAATTTCATGTTTAAGTGTTTTATATTCTATATTAGATCTACATATTAACCCTTTCAGGATCAAGAGACCCTCTCCTAAACTTGTTCTCGGGGTCAAAAGTTTTTTGGAAAAAAAAAATTATTTTTTCGTATGAAAAGACAGAGAACTTTTCCCGATCATAATGACACCAAAAGTATGAAATTTGATGGAAAACTTAAGGAGTTATGCTCTCATGAAGCTAGCGGTCTCGACAACGTTAACGCATCGGCGATTTCGCCCACTTTGAGCCTTATTTTTTGCCAATTCCCGATACTAGTCGACAAAAATCATAACTATTTAGCTAGAACTCCATTTTTTCTATCAAATGAGTACAAGAAACCACCCATTTACCGATTTCAACTATCCAATAAAATGGTCAGAATTTAGCAATTTTGCCAATTTCACACAATTTTCTAAAGATGCCAATTTCCAAATAGGGTCCAGAATAAACAAGACAGACATTACTGGCACTAAAATAACATTTCCTCTGTTCATCAGTCATGCCCCCTGGCCCCTCTTACATTTCTTTTGCTTTCCACTTTGAATTTTTATTCTCAAAAAATAAAAGATTTACTGTTATGCAGACTACATTAGTGTAGAAATGGTATAAATAATATCAGCGCACTTGTGAAAGAACATCAGACTCACCAGTTGACGTGTATTGGACACGTGGCATGATTTGTTTACTTTTAAACTCTGGCAAAAATCGAACATTTCTGCTACTTTGAGCTCAGTTTCAAGGTACTTTTCATTGTGAAACCAATCAAAATCATCTCAATTTCTGTAATATGTCTTCCATTCTACAAAATGAGACCAGGAAAACTAAAATACAACCATAAATACCATATGAAAATACAGTGCAAAGTCGCTGTTTTAAACCAAAAAACAAGGTCAAAGTTTTTTTTTCTCATTATGCACTGTGTGCTGCAGGATTTTTTTTTATACTGCGCACACTGACCACATAGACCCATTCTTTCATATGTAGGCCTACCAGCTTTCTCTCACTAGATTTGAAAGGGCTAGAATTTATGCGTACTAGTATGTCAATAACCCTCGTGCGTAAGCTGTACTAGTACGTCGGAAACCCTTAAAGGGTTAATAAAATTGTTTATCTTATTATGTTATCATTGATTTTTCTATCTTTCCATTTCCATAAGGAGGAATCAGCCATATCAAATACTCTGTAAGTGTACTGAAAGAGGCATTTACTATGGGATGTGCCAGGGAGATTTCATGCATCCTGCAAAGCTTGGAAGTTAAATGTGTATGGCTGTGTAGGAGACAAAGAACTCTGGGCACTCATAAATAATTAAATATTAACAAGAAACTATCACAGTCTTTTGTCAAGAAACTATCAGAGATTTGCAGAAAATGGGAGGAGAAAATGAAGACAGATGGCATAGTAAATAAAAAGTTAGAAACTAAGGTACAAAACAATGAAGATGAGACAGATACAGTGATGAATAGTAGTGGGACACAAAATACAAACTTAGAACTAGACAGACAAAATGAGAAAATATGAGAAATACATACAGTCTGGAAAACCCAGCAAGCAACTCTGGTGCAGAACAAGGTAGCCAGGAAAATCCAAAGCAGGGTAACCAGGAAAACCCAGGAAATGTAGAGGTAGAGGAGCCCAAGAATGTCAGAAAAAAATAGTAAAGATGCCCTGTGTAGATACTATGCCAAAGGGGTCTGTAACTATGGAAGTGAATGTAGATACATACACATCAGGTGTACCAACATACTGAGAAAGTGAAGGTGCCACCTTGGTGAAGAGTGCTGGTATTCCCACCCAGAGATGTGGAATTCATCATTAGAAGCCAAAAAATGTTAAGACCTAAACTGCTCAAAATTCCACATAAAGAAAAATGCAACGATATAGAATTATGTATCGAGAGGCAGAAAGTGTAAAAAGCAATGAAAAACGTTTTTCAGGGTATACAGACACACATGCCAATGGATGACAGTGAACTAGTTCCACACATACCTGGACCAAACACAACATGCCACAATACTGACAGTACTGGAGAGATCAGAAATATATCCACCAAGAACCATATCACATGATGGCACAGTACCAGTGGTACTTACAAAACACACTAAACCAGAGCATCCCAAGTGGTATATCCTCCTTCCTTTCTGCAAACATACAGGGTCTGAAAACAAATAGAAATGACAAAGTTAGTGACTAAAAACTATAATATATATATATATATATGTGACAGTAAACAGAAAGAGTAGGACTATGTGAATGACACATTTTTCTATACAAAACTGTTAAATTCATCAAATGACACCATAGAAGTTCAAGTAATTAAAGAAGAAAATGATAATCTGGTAATTACTGCTGTAAATAAATCACCTTCAGCAACAGCTAAGGAATTTACATAGCAGATAAGCTGCCTTGAAAGTCTCGAAAACCCCACACCAAATATTATCCTCCTTTGAGATTTCAACCTCCCAAAGGTAAAGTGGACGATAATTTCATAAGACTACCCCAAAAATATTTCCTGGAACATGCTTATTAAACAGGTTTAATTACAGAAAAAAACCACTGAACAAATGGGCTATGTAAAAAGTTTGCACTAAAACCAAAATTAACAAGCCTCGAAAGAAAAAACACTGTTTTTGATCTTTCAAACAACGGGGAAAACCCAAAGGGGACATGAAAATCACAAAACCCCAATACTTGATACAACATATATGGTACAAATGGTATAAACTGGGGGTGGGGAACCCCATAAATCGTACAAGAAGGGATTTTCAGAAAATTAACTTCAACAATCAGGGATTTGACAAGACAAAATTAAAGAAGAATTATTTTCAAGGTAGTAGGGTTTGGGAGACAGCAACCCCCCAGGGGAAAACTACCCTCCCGCCGATGACTGGAAAAAAAAACCTGTAACTGTTTTGCTGATGGTTAGGTTGTGGTTTCTTTTTTTGTCTCATAAACACGCTAGATAAACAGGGGGTATTTGCTACTCCTCTTACACTTGGGCCACTTCACAACAGCACATGCATAAAATATATACTACACAGGGTTTTTTCTTTTTTTAAATAGCTCTTTTTCTTTTTTATTTCTTCTATTGTCCATGGGGAAGTGGAAAAGAATCTTTCCTCCGTAAGCCATGCGTGTCGTATGAGGCGACTAAAATGCCGGGAGCAATGGGCTAGTAACCCCTTCTCCTGTATACAATTACTAAAAAAGAGAAGAAGAAAAACTTTATAAAACTGGGTTGCTTAAATGTGCGTGGATGTAGTGCGGATGACAGAAACAGATGATTGCTGATGTTATGAATGAAAAGAAGTTGGATGTTCCTGGCCCTAAGCGAAACAAAGCTGAAGGGGGTAGGAGAGTTTCAGTGGGGGGAAATAAATGGGATTAAATCTGGAGTATCTGAGAGAGTTAGAGCAAAGGAAGGGGTAGCAGTAATGTTAAATGATCAGTTATGGAAGGAGAAAAGAGAATATGAATGTGTAAATTCAAGAATTATGTGGATTAAAGTAAAGGTTGGATGCGAGAAGTGGGTCATAATAAGCGTGTATGCACCTGGAGAAGAGAGGAATGCAGAGAGAGAGAGAGATTTTGGGAGATGTTAAGTGAATGTATAGGAGCCTTTGAACCAAGTGAGAGAGTAATTGTGGTAGGGGACTTGAATGCTAAAGTAGGAGAAACTTTTAGAGAGGGTGTGGTAGGTAAGTTTTGGGGTGCCAGGTGTAAATGATAATGGGAGCCCTTTGATTGAACTTTGTATAGAAAGGGGTTTAGTTATAGGTAATACATATTTTAAGAAAAAGAGGATAAATAAGTATACACGATATGATGTAGGGCGAAATGACAGTAGTTTGTTGGATTATGTATTGGTAGATAAAAGACTGTTGAGTAGACTTCAGGATGTACATGTTTATAGAGGGGCCACAGATATATCAGATCACTTTCTAGTTGTAGCTACACTGAGAGTAAAAGGTAGATGGGATACAAGGAGAATAGAAGCATCAGGGAAGAGAGAGGTGAAGGTTTATAAACTAAAAGAGGAGGCAGTTAGGGTAAGATATAAACAGCTATTGGAGGATAGATGGGCTAATGAGAGCATAGGCAATGGGGTCGAAGAGGTATGGGGTAGGTTTAAAAATGTAGTGTTAGAGTGTTCAGCAGAAGTTTGTGGTTACAGGAAAGTGGGTGCAGGAGGGAAGAGGAGCGATTGGTGGAATGATGATGTAAAGAGAGTAGTAAGGGAGAAAAAGTTAGCATATGAGAAGTTTTTACAAAGTAGAAGTGATGCAAGGAGGGAAGAGTATATGGAGAAAAAGAGAGAAGTTAAGAGAGTGGTGAAGCAATGTAAAAAGAGAGCAAATGAGAGAGTGGGTGAGATGTTATCAACAAATTTTGTTGAAAATAAGAAAAAGTTTTGGAGTGAGATTAACAAGTTAAGAAAGCCTAGAGAACAAATGGATTTGTCAGTTAAAAATAGGAGAGGAGAGTTATTAAATGGAGAGTTAGAGGTATTGGGAAGATGGAAGGAATATTTTGAGGAATTGTTAAATGTTGATGAAGATAGGGAAGCTGTGATTTCGTGTATAGGGCAAGGAGGAATAACATCTTGTAGGAGTGAGGAAGAGCCAGTTGTGAGTGTGGGGGAAGTTCGTGAGGCAGTAGGTAAAATGAAAGGGGATAAGGCAGCCGGGATTGATGGGATAAAGATAGAAATGTTAAAAGCAGGTGGGGATATAGTTTTGGAGTGGTTGGTGCAATTATTTAATAAATGTATGGAAGAGGGTAAGGTACCTAGGGATTGGCAGAGAGCATGCATAGTTCCTTTGTATAAAGGCAAAGGGGATAAAAGAGAGTGCAAAAATTATAGGGGGATAAGTCTGTTGAGTGTACCTGGTAAAGTGTATGGTAGAGTTATAATTGAAAAAATTAAGAGTAAGACGGAGAATAGGATAGCAGATGAACAAGGAGGCTTTAGGAAAGGTAGGGGGTGTGTGGACCAGGTGTTTACAGTGAAACATATAAGTGAACAGTATTTAGATAAGGCTAAAGAGGTCTTTGTGGCATTTATGGATTTGGAAAAGGCGTATGACAGGGTGGATAGGGGGGCAATGTGGCAGATGTTGCAAGTGTATGGTGTAGGAGGTAGGTTACTGAAAGCAGTGAAGAGTTTTTACGAGGATTAGTGAGGCTCAAGTTCGAGTATGTAGGAAAGAGGGAAATTTTTTCCCAGTAAAAGTAGGCCTTAGACAAGGATGTGTGATGTCACCGTGGTTGTTTAATATATTTATAGATGGGGTTGTAAGAGAAGTAAATGCGAGGGTCTTGGCAAGAGGCGTGGAGTTAAAAGATAAAGAATCACACACAAAGTGGGAGTTGTCACAGCTGCTCTTTGCTGATGACACTGTGCTCTTGGGAGATTCTGAAGAGAAGTTGCAGAGATTGGTGGATGAATTTGGTAGGGTGTGCAAAAGAAGAAAATTAAAGGTGAATACAGGAAAGAGTAAGGTTATGAGGATAACAAAAAGATTAGGTGATGAAAGATTGAATATCAGATTGGAGGAGAGAGTATGGAGGAGGTGAACGTATTCAGATATTTGGGAGTGGACGTGTCAGCGGATGGGTCTATGAAAGATGAGGTGAATCATAGAATTGATGAGGGAAAAAGAGTGAGTGGTGCACTTAGGAGTCTGTGGAGACAAAGAACTTTGTCCTTGGAGGCAAAGAGGGGAATGTATGAGAGTATAGTTTTACCAACGCTCTTATATGGGTGTGAAGCGTGGGTGATGAATGTTGCAGCGAGGAGAAGGCTGGAGGCAGTGGAGATGTCATGTCTGAGGGCAATGTGTGGTGTGAATATAATGCAGAGAATTCGTAGTTTGGAAGTTAGGAGGAGGTGCGGGATTACCAAAACTGTTGTCCAGAGGGCTGAGGAAGGGTTGTTGAGGTGGTTCGGACATGTAGAGAGAATGGAGCGAAACAGAAATACTTCAAGAGTGTATCAGTCTGTAGTGGAAGGAAGGCGGGGTAGGGGTCGGCCTAGGAAGGGTTGGAGGGAGGGGGTAAAGGAGGTTTTGTGTGCGAGGGGCTTGGACTTCCAGCAGGCATGCGTGAGCGTGTTTGATAGGAGTGAATGGAGACAAATGGTTTTTAATACTTGACGTGCTGTTGGAGTGTGAGCAAAGTAACATTTATGAAGGGATTCAGGGAAACCGGCAGGCCGGACTTGAGTCCTGGAGATGGGAAGTACAGTGCCTGCACTCTGAAGGAGGGGTGTTAATGTTGCAGTTTAAAAACTGTAGTGTAAAGCACCCTTCTGGCAAGACAGTGATGGAGTGAATGATGGTGAAAGTTTTTCTTTTTCGGGCCACCCTGCCTTGGTGGGAATCGGCCGGTGTGATAATAATAATAATAATAAATTCTGGCAAACAGTCATAAACACCCTAAATGCTCACCAGTGCCTGGAAAAGTTAAACACAGAAGCATGTAAGGTCAGCATTAATATGTACCAATAAGAAAACCTAGAATATCAAATATAGAAAGAGCACAGAAGTTTGTACAGAACAAGAAAAAGGATTACCAAATTGCTTAAAAATATCAATGTCACAAAGAAGTAAAGATAATCGTAGCCAAGAGATCACAAGGTAAAGTAAAATGGAAGGATGATTTACCATTTGGGATGTTTGGGTTTTGTATAGGTTTTGTTAATACTGTATATCTGGTAATGTACCATTTTGTAATATGGTTCTCAATCTTCATATTCCTGGTCCCTCCAGTAAAGCCTGAAATATAGGCTGTTGTATATTTAGCCCTGGTATGTGCAGCATTGTTTTTCTTGGTATTTCTGTCTTTGCTTCATTGGTATGTCTTCCCCTAAAAAATCATTGTCTATCATGTCTTCAGTCTTTTGGTACTTATTTCTATACTGCGGTGTATTTTTCACATGTAGTCTATCATCTTCCATTTTACATCTGGAAGGCTGAAATTGCCAATAATATTTGGCCTAGGATTGTCAATATTTGCTAGGCTGCCATTTATCTGTTCAGTGAACTCCTCTGCCACCACTGATAGTAGTTTGTATAAAAGGAAAATTACTAGATCATTGTTCTCCATTTTTATTGCAAGCACTTATGCCGTATCATTTGATGATTTGAGCAGTTCTGT